GGGCAGCCTGCACGAGGAGATCTGGCTGCGCCGCCCACTTGGCTTCACTGGGACTTTTCCTCCTGGCACCCAGTGGAGCCTCCGGCGGCCAGTCTACGGTCTCCGCCAGGCACCGCGTGAGTGGCACGACACACTGAGGACTACGCCTGCGGCTCTTGGGTTTGCTCCCTCTACTGCCGACCCGTCGCTGTTTCTGCGCACCGACACTTCTTTGCCGCCGTTCTACATCCTCGTGTACGTCGACGACTTGGTCTTTGCCACAGCTGACACTGCTGGACTCGCCCACGTGAAGTCCGAGCTGCAGAAGAGACACACGTGCACAGACCTGGGTGAACTGCGCAGCTACCTTGGCTTGCAGATCACCCGGGACAGAGCACGCCGCACCATTACCCTGACTCAGTCACACATGGTGCAGCAGGTCCTTCAGCGCTTCGGCTTCACGTACTCCTCGCCTCAGGCCACTCCTCTGCCTACTCGCCACTCGCTCTCAGCTCTGCCTTCGGATGAGTCCGTAGAGTCGAGTGGCCCGTACCCAGAGCTTGTTGGCTGCCTCATGTACCTGATGACCTGCACTCGACCTGACCTTGCATACCCTCTTAGCATTCTCGCACGCTATGTTGCTCCTGGGAGACACAGACCGGAGCACATGGCTGCAGCGAAGAGGGTGTTGCGCTACTTGTGCAGTACGTCGGGCATGGGGCTTGTGCTTGGAGGGCAGAGTCCAGTGGTCCTCACTGGGCACGCAGACGCTTCTTGGGCTGACGACCAGGCTACGCAGCGGTCGTCACAGGGTTACACCTTCAGCCTTGGTTCCGGCTCTGTCTCGTGGCGGGCTACCCGCTCGTCTTCTGTTCTCGGCTCCAGTTGTGAGGCTGAGATCTACGCAGGGGCCATGGCTGCACAGGAGCTTCGCTTGCTCACCTACCTGCTGACTGACCTCGGAGAGCCGCCTCGTTCTCCTCCAGTGCTGTACGTAGACAACAAGGCCATGCTGGCCTTGTGTCGGGAGCAGAGACTGGAGCACAGAACGAAGCACATTGCTCTTCGCTACTTCCTTGCTCGTGAGCTACAGCAGCGTGGTCAGCTACGCCTTGCGTACGTGGCCTCTCAGGCCAACACTGCTGATATCTTCACCAAGGCACTTGCGCCTTGTGATCATCAGCGCTTCTGTACTCAGGGCAACAGGAGTCACACTGGCACAGCGGCTACCGGAACAACGCTCCGGACTACTGGAGTAACTGGCTCCGCGGCTAAAAGTAGCGGCAGACGAGCAACGGACCCACGGGCGACTGGCACAGCTGGCTGCGACTGGGCTACCGGAGCAACTCCCCGGACTACAGGTGCTGCTGGCGACACGACGGCAACCTCAGTTCAACCTCCCCAAACAGTCCCACTCCCCCTGACACACACCCCTTGCTTCACCCCTAGCTCCACTCCCCCTTCACCCCCCTTAGTACCACTCCGACGGCTCCAACAGGTCCACCCCCCTCAGCGGCAGCTGCAGCACTGGGAGACGGAGGAGGAGGAGGAGGAGCAGGGGACGGCACACAGAAGCTGCACCCCCAGACCCCCCACCCCCAAACCCTAATTCAGGAGAACGGGCAGCAGCAGAGGTGGGGCGCCATCAGAAGCACGGGGGACAGCGGGCAGCGCAGGGGCAGCGAAGAACGGGCCGCCCACGGGCCTGGCACAGCCGCCCGAACCGCGCGCAGGCGGCCCGAGCCGCGCGCGGGCCTGGCGCAGCCCGTACGGGCCGCGCGCGGGCCTGGCGCGGCCCGTACGGGCCGCGCACAGGCTGTACGAGCCGCGCGCAGGCCACGACGGGCGACGGGGGGCGACGCGCGGGTCCCCATCGCCCGTCGCAGCGCCTCCCGGGAGCGACGCGCGGAGTGACGGGGCAGAAACCCGCCGCGCGCCTCGGGGCGCACGGCGGGCAGACAACCGCCGCGCGCCTCGGGGCGCACGGCGGGCAGAAAACCGCCGCGCGCCTCGGGGCGCACGGCGGGCAGAAAACCGCCGCACGCTCCGAGCGCGCGGCGGGATGAAAAATCCGTCGCACGCCACGGGGCGTGCGACACAGAGAGTAGCAGTAGCAGCGGAAGCAGTGAGGTGGTGAGCCCACCCACAGGATCGACCCAAGGGGATCGACCTGCTCTGATAGCATGTTAAAATAGTAGATAGAGTTAGGAGCCATAGCTAGGTAAGTCCTAGCTAGGCAAGAGAAGTTTAGGCAAAAGAAGAAGAGGGGGTTCACTAGAAAGCAGCAGGATACATATAGGAAACCCTAAGGGGTTGTACTCGCTATAGAGTACCCCACTGCAGGCTAGAGAACAATGACATTCTGACAGGTCTTGTGCCTACCTTGCCTCACTTGCTTACCCCTTGGCCTTGTGGCCTTGAACTTGTGCTCGGAATGTGTGGTGACGTTGTGATCCACCCTGAGCTTGCTTTGCTTTGCTTGACTGGTCTTGTGACCCCTTGTCCTCCCCCACTTTGCCTATGGGGGTGTGTCAGATTTATATGACTTAGCTGCTGTAGGCTATAGTGGGGTAGCACATATGGGGTACAGCTTTCTAAGGTTTGTACTTGTACCCAACTTTCCCTTAGTCTTTTCATTCCTCGTTCATTTTCACACGCACACCATCGACACCTCCAGCGGGATATTCGCTGGCATGTGTGGTTGTGAGCAGTTTTAGGATAACTCCAGTTAGTTTTGCTTTTCTGACCGTTCAGTTTCATTCGCACAGTGTTTCGTAATTACATTACGAATGTGCAACCAATCTTCCCGGAGTTACTGTATTTTCGGTTGTTATTTGTTTTTACCCTGGCCCGCCCCCATCGTTTCTCGTCATCCTTCCCTTTCCCCGTCCTCTTTCCTTGCTGCTCGAATCCACCCATCCTTCCCTTTCCCCGTCCTCTTTCCTTGCTGCTCAACCCCACCCCATTCCAGACGCTCGCGTTTATGTATCAGCATCAACCCACCACCTAATAGTTTATTTCTTTTCTAGCTTCACGGTTTCCTGCCGCTCAGTTTCGTCTGCTGCTTCATCTAGTTTGCGCTTAGTAGTCTCTGCCTTAGCTGCCGTTTTCTTCCATTACGTATATGTGATTCCCTGCGGATGTCAAGTTGTCGGTTTCCTTCCCTTACGTTCTAACACCTAACATTACATAATCCCGTAGTGTTGTGTTTCCGTTTCTGTTTTCTGTCTGTTATTATTTCTTGCAGTTAATTCTACTGCTACTGAAGGACAAAACACGATCGGACGTCGTCCATGTGTTGACCGGCGGCAGCCGCTTGCTTTTCTTCTGGTAGGTACAGGTTCCGGTAGGTACCGATTCACTACCTAATCCCGCAGTGTTGTGGTTATGTTTGTCTGTGTGTGTTTTTTTTCGGCAGTTATACTACGGTTCTTGCTTGGCTACTTACAAGAACAGAACGCAAGGTGCAAGTCTTCCTTGGGCTGACTGTCGGCAGCCGCTTTCCGTCACTGGTATGTACCGACTCACAGGGTGATTTTTTCCCTGTGGCTTGTTTCGTCAATCTTGTTGCTACTGAACTTGCGTGCTCTCTTATCTCTATTGTTGTGCAGCGTTGTCGTTGCAGCGTTCTTGATACCGCTATCGCCTAAACTTTAGATTAGTTTAGCTTGCTGGTTAGGTAGGATTTGAATGTATTTTACCGTGTAATGCTGATTTTAACTTTTACTGACTATCGTAATTCGGCTGTAATAGCCCACCAGAGACCCTGGAGAACCAGTTGATGAATATCGTTGATAAGCGTTAAGAAGTGTTAATCCAGCTGGCATGAAGAAACGTGCAGCTTTAACGAGCAAAATAAAATTAATTGTACTGATTTTATTATTAATTACCGTGAACTTGTTACCTTAATGTTACCTGGTTACCATATCATGTAACAACGTTTTTCGAAGTGGTGCATCATGATTATGCTTTAGAGCTCATCTGGATTTTACTGTATACATTTGTATTCAGGTAACGAGTCATTTTTAAAACAGTTCAGGGTCGACTGACACAGTGACGCGCGTAGTGTTCCAATTCGGCGCTGCAATCACTCTGTATTGGTTTTGACCAATCAACACCTTCGCAATGACCCTTTCTCAAATTGAGGAACAAATCGCAGCTGACCATGCAATTCGCACACGCGGTGTTACCGGTTCGCTTGTGCATCCCGAAGTATCAGTCATTTCGCCGATCACACATTCGTTCCCACCCGTAAGTAACTTTGCAGAATGTTTATTTTCGGACGGCCCCAACCCTCACATCGCATGATTCTAGTATGTTCGCTAGTAACTGAAATTGATCTCTGGACACCTACCACAAAGTAACTAGGAATTAGCTTTGTGGTAGGTTTAGCTTCCCATCATTTTTGGGATGCTCAGCGCCGCGCGCCCTCAGCCCCGCGCACCTTTCCGCCTCTGAGCATCGCTCTGCCCGCCACCAGGCAGACATAATCATAATCCCAGCACCAGGCAGTGCGCAGCACGCAGAAGCAGCAGGCATGGCGGCTGAGCTGCTCTCACACCTCCCCTTGCCCGCCTCGCCGCTCTCCCTCGCCCTCACGGCCGTCGTGGCTCTGCTGCTGCTGCGCGTGCTGCTCGTGCTGCACGCCGTGGCGCGGCCGCACCGCAAGAGGCCTCCTGGCGACCACCTTTCCACGCTCATCGTGCTGGGCTCAGGTGCTCATCGTGCTGCGCTCAGGTGCTTATCGTGCTGGGCTCAGGTGCTTATCGTGCTGGGCTCAGGTGCTTATCGTGCTGGGCTCAGGTGCTTATCGTGCTGGGCTCAGGTGCTTATCGTGCTGGGCTCAGGTGCTTATCGTGCTTGGCTCAGGTTCTTATCGTGCTGGGCTCAGGTGCTTATCGTGCTGGGCTCAGGTGCTTATCGTGCTGGGCTCAGGTTCTTATCGTGCTGGGCTCAGGTGCTTATCGTGCTGGGCTCAGGTGCTTATCGTGCTTGGCTCAGGTTCTTATCGTGCTGGGCTCATGTGCTCACATTCGCACTCCCCCTTGCTCCCCTCCCCCGTTCTCCACGACACATGCATCTTTTCCTCCCCCCCCACATCACCTTCCGCCCTCACGCTCGTTTTCCAACCTCACTGCCGCTTCAGCAGCTCGTGTTTCATGCAGCCGCGCAGCACCGTTGCTCCACACAATCCTTGCTGCGCCGCACCCTGTGCCCTTTCTTTCTCCCCACACACAGGCAACCCCTTTTCGCACGCCATACAAGTTTCACCCCCCCTGCTTCCCCCACACTCACTCATGCTCGCCTTGCTGCTGCGCACCCCCTACCTCCTGCACCTTCCTCCCCCCTGCATGCTTCCTCCGCCTGCGCCGCTACCCTCCACATACGCCCCTCCCTTTCCCCGTCCTCTCAGGGGGCCACACGGCGGAGATGCTGTGTGTGGTGGGCGCCCTGGACCACACACATACGTGTTCACCCTCCCTGCTCCTTCCACAATTACTCCCTTCCGCCCCGCGCCCCTGCCTTTCCTCCGCCCCCTCAGGCGGCCACACGGCGGAGATGCTGTGTCTGGTGAGCGCCCTGGACAGTGGGCGCTACAGCCCGCGCTGCTACATCTGCTCCCATCAGCCTGCCAATTCGCGCCTCTCTTCCCCCTCCCCTCCCCCCCCCCCCCCCTCCCCCAGCGGCCCACACAGCGGAGATGCTGTGTCTTGTGAGCGCCCTGGACCACACACATACGTGTTCACCCTCCCTGCTCCTTCCACACTCATTCCCTCCCCCCCCATGCCCCCTCCTTGTCTCCCCCTCTCCCAGGGGGCCACACGGCGGAGATGCTGTGTCTGGTGGGTGCGCTGGACCACGGGCGCTACAGCCCGCGCTGCTACATCGCTGCTGCCACCGACGCCATCAGCCTGCCCAAGGCACGCCAGCTAGAGCAAGCCCTCGCACAGGTGAGACCCACCACTCATCTTGCGCTTATCCTCTTTTTGCGCTTATCCTCATCCTGCGCTTATCCTCATTCTGCGCTTACACCGTCCCCACTCCCATCCCCCCCCATTCCAGAAAGCAACCACTTCCCCCCTCGCCCCTGCCTCGGCCGCCCCCCCCCCTTCGTACCTATCGGGGTATTGCAGTCGAGAGGTGGAGCACTTATACGTCACCTCCATGCTCATCCTGCGTTTTCCCCACTCCTGCTCGCACATCCCATGCATAGCAGGAAGCGCCTGCTCCCGCCTTGCCTGTCCCGCCCCCCTCGTACCTATCGGTGTATCGGAGTCGAGAGGTGGGGCAGTCATACCTCACCTCAGTGCTCACCACCATCGCCGCCACGCTGCACGCCATGCTGCTTGTGGCGCGTGTCAGACCCCAACTGGTGCGTCCATCCATGCCGCTTTCCTCTTGTCTCTTGTGCTGCTGTGGCTTCGTTTCTGTTACAGTCTGATTTCTCGTGGACCTGCCACTCAGTGGCATGCCATTCCATGGCATAGCATTCATCATAGCATTCCTGCGCTCTTCTCTCATCACAGCTCATCATTCTTGCCCATCCGTGCCCGTCCTTGTCCATCCGTCTCGCTCCATGCATATGCAGCTGCTCTGCAACGGGCCGGGCACCTGCCTGCCAATCTGCATCGCCGTTTTCACACTGCATGTGAGGTGCATGTGAGGGGCATGTGAGGGGCATGTGAGGGGCATGTGAGGGGCATGTGAGGTGCATGTGAGGTGCATGTGAGGTGCATGGGAGGTGCATGGGAGGTGCATGGGAGGTGCATGGGAGGTGCATGGGAGGTGCATGGGAGGTGCATGGGAGGTGCATGGGAGGTGCATGGGAGGTGCATGGGAGGTGCATGGGAGGTGCATGGGACTACATCGACTTTGGTGCCTCCTCCCTTTCTGCACCCACAGCCACCATCTTCATCACCATACATCGGATGTCCCCTGCTCTTCCCCACTTCTCACACCTTCCCTGACTCCAATCTGACACCTGTCTCCTTCCCTTTGCGTTCCCTGCACAGCCAGTCCCAGAACACAGGAAAACAGAGCAAGGGGGTGCGGCTCATGCGACTCATCAGAACCCAATTCCGCAACCCCTTACCATCGTGGTGGCAGGTGCTGGGAGTGCAGAGCAGCAGCATCGTGTTCGTGGAGAGTGTGGCGCGCGTTGCAGTGCAGCACCTGTAGGCACTCACATGTGGTTTGTGTGACTCATCATTACCTGATCCGACAACCCTTCACCATCGTGTTCATGCAGGTGCTGGGAGTGCAGAGCAGCAGCATCGTGTTTGTGGAGAGTGTAGCACGAGTGGACCACCTGTCGCTCACAGGCCGCCTGCTGCACCGCCTGGGCATCGTAGACCGGTTCTTCGTGCAGTGGCCGCACCTCACCAGCTCATGCAAGGGCACCCACTATGTGGGCCGCCTCATGTGATGCTCACTGGAAGCGAGCACCGCAGCTGACTCGGCTGTTGTTATGCTATTAAGAAATTCCATGTACAGTATAGTTGAAGTTTGGATGGGATCCATGAGGAACTCCCTGGCGGTTGTTGTCAAATGTTATGACTATGGTCTAGGCTATAGTGGGGTACTCACTAGAGAGAGCAACCCTGTTATGGTTGCATATTTGTGTCCGAACTCATCCTAGTCAATTCATTCCGCTGCTTCACACTTTAAAATGGTATCGAGTAGGTTAGGTCAGTGTCTACTGCCCATCACAGCTACTGTCGCTGTACTGCCCCACGCCACCACGCTGCCCTGCCCTGCGGGCTCTGCCCTGCCCCGCGTGAGCTTCGCTGCCCCGCACTTGCTGCACTGCGCGCTGCTGCCCCGCTCGCCGCTACCCCGCGAGCTGCTGCCCCGCGCGCCCCACTGCCCCGCGCGCCCCACTGCCCCGCGCGCTGTTGCTCCTCGCGCTGCTGCCCCGCTGCCCCGTGCGCTGCTGCCCCGCGCGCCCCGCTGCCCCGCGAGCTGCTGCCCCGCGCCCCGCTGCCCTGCGCGCTGCTGCCCCGCGCCCCGCTGCCCCGTGCGCCGCTGCCCCACGCGCTGCTGCTCCGTGCGTCGCTGCCCCGCGCACTGCTGCCCCGCGCGCTGCTGCCCTGCGCGCCCCGCTGCCCCGCGCACCGCTGCCCTGCGAGCTGCTGCCCCGCGCCCGCTGCCCTCCGCGCTGCTGCCCCGCGCCCCGCTGCCCCGTGCGCCGCTGCCCCACGCGCTGCTGCTCCGTGCGTCGCTGCCCCGCGCCCTGCTGCCCCGCGCGCCGCTGCCCCGCGCGCCCCTCTGCCGTGCGCCGCTGCTGCCCGTGCGCTGCTGCCGCCTGTGCGCCGCACCGCTGCTGCTGCCGCCCTTGCACCCCTGCCGCCCGCGCGCCGCCCAAACCCAACCCTAGCACTAACCAAGGTGTACACCACCTAGACTAAACAATCCAAACTATAATAGTTTGACACACTGCCATAGTCTAGGTGATGGTAGTTGTGTGGAGAGCAATACACAACCCAAGTGAACCAGTCAGCAAGAACAAGCAACGGTCACAAGACCAGTTCACAAGAACAAAACAACTCTCGGGATGGATCTCAAGATCACCACAAAGTCCGAGAACAAGCAAGGGGCCACAAGGCCAGTCCACATGCAGGTATATAGCGGATATAAGAGATGCAAGGGTACAAGACATGCATGACAAGCATCTCTACAGAAGCAAGGGGCCACAGGGCCTGTCCACAAGCAGAGATATAGAATATATAGTGAGGTGCAAGAGTACAAGACAATGCATCTCTATGCAAGCAAGTGAGGGCCTGTAGACACAAGGCCAAGCTGGGTGCAGGAACGTTGGTGGTCACAAGGCGGCAACGCCTTGGTGAAGATGTCTGCAGTGTTGGCCTCAGAGAGACCACACGTCGCAGGAGTGCCTGGCCACGCTGCTGCAACTCTCGCAGAAGGAAGTAACAAAGCTGGATGTGCTTCACCTTCCCAACCAGTCGGGGCTCCTCGCACAACAGGATAGCAGACCTGTTGTCGGCGAACAAGACTGGGAGAGAGCGAGGCCGCTTACCAAGGTCGGTGAGGAGGAAAGACAGCCAGCGAAGCTGCTGGGCGGCCATGGCCGCAGCGTACACCTCTGCCTCACAACTGGAACTAGAGACGGCCGACGCCCGAGTCGACCTCCACGAAACAGCTCCGGTCCCAAGGCTGAAGCAGTAACCTTGTGTAGACCGCAACGACTCAGCGTCGTCGGCCCATGACGAGTCTGAGAAACCTGTAAGTGTAACTGGCTGCTTCCTCCAAGGACAAGTCCCATGCCTGATGTACTCGCCACATACTTCACCACCCTCTTGGCAACGTACCAGTGGGAAGGTCGGTGTCTCACAGGCGCAACAAAGTGCGCAAGGACGCTAAGAGGCTAAGCTAGGTCTGGGCGAGTGCAGGTCATCAGGTACATGAGACAACCCAACAGCTTAGGATATGGACCAATGGACTCAAATGGCTCGTCCGAAGGTGGAGCGGTGAGCCCATGATCCACAGCAAGAGGGGTGGGCTGTACCTTGGAGAACAGGAAGCAAATCCGCGTGAGGATCTGCTCGACCATATGGGACTGCGTGAGCGTAATGGTGCGAGCTGCCCTGTCCCTGGTGATCTGCAGGCCGAGGTAGCGCTGGAGCTCAGCAAGGTCAGTGCAAGTGTCTCTCCTCTGCAGTTCCTCCTTCACGGAGGCCAGTGTGCGTCGGTCGGGAGTGGCGAAGAACAGGTTGTCAACGTAGACCAGAACAAAGAACGGGGTCGAGCCACGGCGGACGAACAGCGACGGGTCGGCAGACGACGGAAAGAAGTCAAGTGCTGCAAGAGTCGTACGTAGCGTGTCGTGCCACTCGCGGGGAGCCTGGCACAGGCCGTAGACCGGTCGACGCAGCTGCCACTGGGTCTTAGGAGGGAAAGTGCAAGTGAAGCCAGGCGGACGACGCAGCCAGATCTTCTCGTGCAGGTTCCCCTGAAGAAATGCGGTAGAGAAGTCCAAGGAGTGCAACTCGTAGTCACGCTTTGCTGCAATATGCAGCAACACCCAAAGGGTGGTCATCTTCGGGGTGGGAGCGAAGGTTTGGAAGAAGTCTACCCCCTCTCGCTGACTGAAGCCTCTCGCCACGTGGCGCGCCTTGAACACCGGTGGTGCTCCAGGCGGCCGCTTCACCTTGTAGAGCCACATGCCACTGACAACGTTCGTCCCAGGTGGTGGGACGGCGTCGACGTAGGTGCGTGTGGACCTATTAGATGCCATCTCTGCCTCCTCAGCTTCTATCCAGTACGAAGCCCAGGGTCCTGAGACCGCCTCAGCGTGATTGCGAGGGATCGGGATGTCAAGGGCGTCTGGATTTCCCTCAGGGGCAAGCAGCATGGCGCAGAGATGAGGAACAGCGGCCGCAAGGAAACCAAGCTCGAACTGCCTATCCTCCAGGACCTCTAGGAAAAAGACAGGAGCACCCCCAGAGGACGGAGAACGAGCAGGGCCACTCACCAGGTGAGCGGCGTAGTCAAGACGGTGGGAAAAGGCAACGCCAGCGACAATGGTAACAAGAGCCAAAACAGACAACAAGGGTGCAGTCGGGCGAGTGACCAACGCGGACAGAACACGGGAGACGACGGGACGGGAGGCACGGAGGTAGTCGGACAACTGGTCGTGAAGCAGAGTGAAGGACGACTCAGGAGGCTGTAGAAGGACTGGAGGAGATGGAACACGAGAGCAGATAACAAGGTGAAATGGACCGTCTGCACGGTAACAAGACCGACGGGGCTCCGGAGACACAGCACGACTGAGGGGAGAACGACGAGTCCATTGGGACGAGGAAAGGGACTGGACGGGGGGAACACGAGGGGACAATATGGGACCACGAACCAAGCGTGCATGTGCTAGGTCAGGCAGGTCGCGCAGTCGAAGTCGCTGCTGCTCCGCCTTCTCTAGCGTCTGCTGCGACGGTACCTGCCCCTGCTGCTGCTCCTGCGGCTCCTCCTCTGCCCTCTCCTGCTGCGGCTGCAGCTGCACCCACTGCTGCGACCGGGACTCCTGCGCTGCCCTCTCCTGTTTCGGTCGTGACTCCTATACCCTCTCCTGCTGTGTCTGTAACTCCACCTGCTGCTGCGGGCGGGACTCTGAGAAGATTTGAACAAGAATGAATGAACTATGAAATGAAGTGAGTACAAATATGAAACCCTAATTGGTTGTACCCCCTATGGGATACCCCACTATAGCCTACACAACAGCATAAGCTACAATTGTCTGACACACCCCCATAGGCAAAGTGGGGGAGAACAAGGGGTCACAAGACCAGTCAAGCAAAGCAAAGTAAAGCAAGCTCAGGGTGGATCACAAAGTCACCACACAGTCCGAGCACAGGGTCAAGGCCACACGGCCAGTTCACATGCAAGAGTACACACATATATATAAAGCTAGACAAGCAAGAGCAGGTATATATATATGTGAGAGTACAAGCAAGGTCAAGAGGAGAGCAAGTGAGGCAAGACGGGCACAAGACCCAGCTGAGTGCAGAAGCACTGATGATCACAAGGCGGAAGTGCCTTGGTGAAGACATCAGCAGTGTTGGCCTCAGAGGCCACGTACGCAAGCCGCAACTGTCCACGTTGCTGTAGCTCATGAGCAAGGAAGTAGCGGAGAGCAATGTGCTTTGTTCTGTGCTCCAGTCGCTGCTCTCGACACAAGGCCAGCATGGCCTTGTTGTCTACGTACAGGACTGGAGGAGAACGAGGCGGCTCTCCAAGGTCGGTCAGCAGGTAGGTGAGCCAGCGAAGCTCCTGTGCAGCCATGGCCCCGGCGTAGATCTCAGCCTCACAACTCGAGCCAAGAACAGAAGACGAGCGAGTAGCCCGCCACGAAACAGAGCCGGAACCAAGGCTGAAGGTGTAACCCTGTGACGACCGCTGCGTAGCCTGGTTGTCAGCCCAAGAAGCGTCCGCGTGCCCAGTGAGGACCACTGGACTCCGCCCTCCAAGCACTAGCCCCATGCCCGACGTACTGCACAAGTAGCGCAACACCCTCTTCGCTGCAGCCATGTGCTCTGGTCTGTGTCTCCCAGGAGCAACATAGCGTGCAAGAATGCTAAGAGGGTATGCAAGGTCAGGTCGTGTGCAGGTCATCAGGTACATGAGGCAGCCAACAAGCTCTGGGTACGGGCCACTCGACTCTACGGACTCATCCGAAGGCAGAGCTGAGAGCGAGTGGCGAGTAGACAGAGGAGTGGCCTGAGGCGAGGAGTACGTGAAGCCGAAGCGCTGAAGGACCTGCTGCACCATGTGTGACTGAGTCAGGGTAATGGTGCGGCGTGCTCTGTCCCGGGTGATCTGCAAGCCAAGGTAGCTGCGCAGTTCACCCAGGTCTGTGCACGTGTGTCTCTTCTGCAGCTCGGACTTCACGTAGGCGAGTCCAGCAGTGTCAGCTGTGGCAAAGACCAAGTCGTCGACGTACACGAGGATGTAGAACGGCGGCAGAGAGGTGTCGGTGCGTAGAAACAGCGACGGGTCGGCAGTAGAAGGAGCAAACCCAAGAGCCGCAAGCGTAGTCCTCAGTGTGTCGTGCCACTCACGTGGCGCCTGGCGGAGACCGTAGACTGGACGCCGGAGACTCCACTGGGTACCAGGAGGGAAAGACCCAGTGAAGCCAGGTGGGCGACGCAGCCAGATCTCCTCGTGCAGGCTGCCCTGCAAGAAAGCTGTGCTGAAGTCAAGAGAGTGCAGCTCGTAGTCACGGTGAGCAGCAACGTGCAGCAGTACCCGAAGAGTGGTCATCTTCGGGGTGGGGGAGAAGGTCTGAAAGTAGTCAACTCCCTGCCGCTGACTGAAGCCACGAGCCACGTAACGCGCCTTGAAGACAGGCGGAGAACCCGGCGGCCGCTTCACCCTGAAGATCCACATGCCACTGACGATGTTCGCCCCAGGAGGGGGGACAGCGTCAACGTAGGTGCTTGTGGACTTCCAGGAAGCCATCTCTGCATCCATAGCTGCCTGCCACTGAGAGGAGTAGGGACTCTCTATCGCCTCCGCGTAAGAGCGCGGAGTCGGGATGTCAAGTGCATCCGGGTCTCCCTCTGGGGTAAGCAGTACGGACACGAGATGAGGTGAGGTAGCTGCCAGACACTGGAACTCCTCCTGCCTGTCCTCAAGGACGTCCGTGCCAAGGGCACACTCACCCCCGACGGACGGAGGACAGACAGACTCAGACTCAGCGACAAGACTAGCAGCGTAGTCTAAGCGACAGCGAGCAGCAAAGTCGACGAGCTCAGTAACGAGAGCAGACGCAGCAGTAGACTCGAAAGAAGGGTCAGTGACAACAGTAGCAAGGAGACGCGTGACAGTAGGACTGGCAGCACGAAGGGAGTCGGACTCCGGGTCAGGAAGAGCAGGAAGAGAGGACTCAG